ATCAATAAAACAATAATTCCAACCAAATAATCATATTAATTACTATTAAAATTCAAAATAGCTCAACTAAAATGAAAAAAATAAATAAATACAATTCTTGATAGTAGTCTCTTTCTTGTTGAATAATTTTTTTCTTTTTTTTTGTTCTTCTAATTACTTCATTGTTCTAGAGTTCAGAGGAGGGATATGACCGTGGCTGATTTATTTCATTAGGGTTTGGCGTGTAATGGTGTTTTGTTTTGTGGGTTAGTGCCTAGTGAAAAGAGTGAGTTAACAATATATAATATTTTTATTAGAGTACTAGATTCTGCTGGAAAGCTCCTCACTTCAATCTGAGGCTACAAAATGTAAAACAAACTCAACTGATTATTGCTTTATCTTCCCAAAACAGAAAGCCACGTTCAAAATCAATCATCCAAAAATTGAAATAAACATCACCATCAAATAAAACCTAGACACAGAAAATTAATTATTGTGGGGGGCAACTTAATTTCAAATAAATATTTGCCTTGTTTTACGACCAATAGAAAATTGATCCAGAAGAAGACTTGCCATCTCGGAGGTGGGAAGAGGCGATGAAATGGCCGACGACACAGATGAGGCCGTGAGGAGGTCTGGCGTACCTCGAAAACACGATAATACAAAACTGATCCAACGGATCTTGCATCTTTGCACTGAAAAGTGATGAAACAAAATGTAAGCCGGTATGTTTTAAACAAGAAGAATAGGATTCACGTACTCTCAGAACAATATCGAGCTCGAAATTTAACGATAAAAACCAAGTCTTTTCTCTCAACCATTTCATTTACACAAACATAAATGCCAAACACAATTAATTGAAAAAAAAAACTTTACTATTTTAAACCAATTGATTTCTTGAAAACTTACTATCGAGAATGAAAGTAAGAAACTAAACCATCCAAGTGAATCTAGGGAAAATAAAAAACACCATGGTTTTTATCCCTCCCCATTCTTGTTTGAACATCTTCTCCATCTCAAGAACACCATGAAAAATTTTGAATATAATACATTTCATCTTCAGAGTAGGTCCCTGAACTTTGCGAGTTAGGTAAACCAAACCCCGAATGAGAAAAAAAATAAAATAACCCGATGAATGCAATAAAAAAATGTATTGGGAAACAAAGAAAAAAAAAGATTTTTTTATCCCTTAAATTTGTACCTAATGCAGGTTGTGACCTTTATATAAATTATCCATACATCGAAGAAAGACAAGTTTGGTTGCAAATCTAGTGAATCATGCGTACATCCAACCATCCATTCTCATTTAAAATTAGCAATCACAAACCGATACTTATTTGTGCAAAAGTTCTATAACGTTATTTGTTAACTAAAAAAATAAGCAATAAAAATGATAACAAATAATAATAGACTTTCATATTTTTTGTCTCCAACAGGCAAGAAGCTTTATATGCAAACTGACAACAAACTCTAGTAGTTAATTTGCAACCCATTAATGAATACATCACAAAATCTGTAACTCAATGAAAAAATCTGTCAAAAAAGGGACCAAAACAAACCCAAACTCATCAACTTAAATAGTTTCATCTAAATTGTAAAATTATTAAAATGAAATGAGGTGAAACTCACCTCAAAATACGATCAGGATTCTAGCGAAGAAGATTAGGGCTGCAAACACCATTGTATGTCGGAGATGAGGCAAGTACCATCTCAGCTTCCATTGTTAACCTGTTACCAGTCAAACTTCAACCTTTAGGAGCGAGAAAAGTTATTTGCCAGTTCAAATGTGCAAATAGTAAGGCGGCTGATAAGGTAGACTCTGTTAAGAGTACTGGTTGAATCAGTTTGAGATCCAATGAACTATTATATCTAGAGCCATCAAAACATGCCGAGTGGGGGCTCTTGGCGGGTTAGGCAGGTCTGAAAAATATGAAAAGAAGGTAGAAATAATTCAAAAATGCCACATTAACAATTTAATTATGGTTACAAACTCAGAGGGCAACTAAACAAATGCAATTTCAATTCTAGTTTCAGTAATCAATACTAAATCCACCAAACAACAATTATACCTTAACCTCACGAGTGAAGAACTGGGGTTTACGCGTATTTTTGCGAGCTCAGAGTCTCGATATCGCCGGAATTTGATAATCCAAAGCGGTGGCCACGGGCAGCCGACTCAAGGGGCGTTGGTAAGGAGGTTGAAGAGCAGATGAAAGAGAATTGGTATTTATACAATAATGGCAGAAAGAAGAAGAGGTAACAAAGAAGACCGAGTGATTTTCGGGAAAGAAGAAAAAGTAAAAAAAAAAAGCTCGAAGCAGCACGATCTCCAGATAAAAAGAAATTTGCTGAAAGCCTGAAATGAAGGAGCACGCAAAAAAGAATGGCGAGGGGTAGGGTTTGGTGGGAGAAGAAATGGGAAGAGAGGCAGGTGTGTAAAAGGTGGCCAATTGTAGGGGTATTTTTGTCCAAAAAGTCGCCACGTGTCAAGACTAAACTACTCATACTTTTTATTATATGTATAAGAGATATATATTGTATGAATACATATAATATATAATTTATTTTATTTTATTTTATTTTATTGCATGTGCACAAATGAATATATTAGTTCATATAAACACAAACCCCATATCTATATATATATAATTGCTAGCATATAACATTTAATTTTACCTATTTAATAAAACCTCTAACATTTTCCCTCCATTTTCGGTTACAAAAATTATCATTAATATTTTTTATTTCTCACATTAATACATCATAATGAGTATAATCATGTATTTTTCTATTATATTATATAATAGTTATTGCTAATACCAACTAATAATAATTCACAATAAGTATAAATTACATAATTAAGAACAATTGTTTTAAGTTATTTATTTTAACATCAATATTATCTTTTTCTTTTGTATCTCATGAAAAAATTTCTTTAAAAACAATTAGTAAATTATTTTGATAGCATAGTCAGACAACTTTAGAATCTTATAAACAATTGTTTTAATAATAGTTATAATAATAATAACAATAATAATAATAATAATAATAATAATAATAATAATTAAACAGTTAGTATCTAATGGTAATATACAATTTTTCATAATAATAAAATCGTTATTTTTTTTTCTAATGATCAAATTTTTGAAAATGTAATATGTTCATTATCTAAAATTTTAATATTAAATTCTCAAATATTACTTATAATATTATATGTACATCTGTGCATGATTGGCCCATATATATTTTTTTTTCTAAAAATCAGAAACACCAAATTTTTTTTTATTTATGTTAATTTTCTTAATATATGCTACAAATATATAAATTATTTTATTCATGTTACTAATA